GGGTGGAGGCGCCGCTGGGAGAATCGGAAACCGCCATTTGGAGGAGCGAGATTCCGAAACACACTACGCTGTGCCTTTTTCAGTGTGAATCGCTGGCATCGGATTGTTCCAGTTCAGAGATGCACCTGATTGGAAGCAGGCTTTTGGGATTTGGGGTTTGGGTGGGTTAGGGAGCGTTTGGGGGAAATCGCCAGTCAGACTTTAAAACCGATTTTTATCACGCGGAGCGGACTTGAGTTGGGTTTACGTTCGTTGTACCCACTCGGAACGTCCCACCTGTACTTCTTTTTCATTTTTTTTTTTTAATTCTTCGTTCGCCTCAAATAAATATACGTTGTTTTTGTTTGAGATTTTTTATGGGAAAAAGAGAAGAGAGAGAGAGAGAAAGACAACAAATTTGTCTTGATCTGAACTAGAACTTTCAGTTTCAGATCTCTTATCCATCGTGTTGCTTTCTAGCTCGTTCTTTTCTAGCATATTTTCATTCACAAAACTGATAACTCATATTAAAAGTTATTATGAATAATATAGTATATATTGGGCAGTTTGTTTATTAAAAAAAAATCTTTTTTATTATCTCATTTTTCATCACTAATAAGAAAAATAAAAATTACTAATAAAGAAAAGTCAAAAATTAATTTTTCATTAAAAATTAGTTTAGAGAAAACACATTAAAATTTAGAAAATTTATTTCTTAAAAAAATTAAACAAAATTAACTCTAAAAAAAGTACATGTAATGAAAATCACTCAAGTTAGTTTAGTAGCTGGGAAAAGGATTTCAATAATTATACAAAATTAACTCTAAAAAAAAAGTACATGTAATTAAGTAACTCCCGAGGTGTTTCAGGCGCTTCGGCACCACCAAATGAGACTCAACTCCGAGAAGTGTGTGTTCGGAGTCTCAGGTACATTTGTCATTTAATGTTTCGGGTTACAAAAGAAATAAATACTTTTCAGCTTTTATTTTGTTTATAAATTCAAAATTTTCTATTACGTTTCAATATTTGAGAAAATAAAGTATAACACAAAATAACCTAACGAGAAACGAAGATTTAAACTAAACATTTTTTTTCTTAAATTTCTTCTTCGTTAATAATTTAACTCTAATTTAACAGAATCTGTTCATATTTTTTTTAAGAATCCATCAAAATAAAAATTAAAACTTAAGATTCCTATTTATAATTAATCAAAACAAAATTAAAAATTATAATTAATTTAAAATAGAAATAAAGTGTACTTTTCTTTGTTTTCTAAGTTGTAACACAAAACATAGCCGTATCGTGTGCGAGGTTATCGCGGAAACATACTTTCCTTGAATTGTAACATCGGATACCGAACCACAGTTCTGGTAGACAGTTCGTTAAATTTATATGTTCAAACACAGCAGAGAAGCGACGTCGTTTGTGGAATGGTTCAATTCAAGGGCGGTTCTCAGAGCGCGCTCGCTCCGTCGTTTATAAGTCAAGTGGCTAACACTTTTTCACAACTGAATTTTGGAAGCCAAAATCGAAGATTGAAACCCTAAATTGCTGAGTCTGCAAGGAAGCGATACTAACAGCGTGATCACTTAGCTTGCTGAAGATCAAATATGGTATGAGACTAAATTTGAGGTTCTATGCATCTTTGTCTTATGGTCATTACCGGCACAGTTTCATCGTTCTCGTTGGTAGCTACTTGAATTCGCAGTGTTGAATTATTTATTCTGATAAATGGCTCTGGTTTTGCCTTTTCAGTTCTCAATTGCAGCTATCAATGACACTGACTCCAAAAGTCAGTGGGAACCACTAGCCCCCACGAAAGAAGCCCAGGCACGTTTCGTCCTCTCTTTCATTCTCTTTGTTGTTAATAAATGATAATGTTAAGCACTTCTGAGAGTTTTGTTTAGGCTGCAACGCTTAGGATTCCTGATACTCTAAATAGCTCTGTTTTTTCATGTATGTGCTGTTGATTTTTTTGTAATCCAAATTCAAGTGCGGCGTTATTTACCGTTATTCACTCAATATGATTTTTGTTTTATGTTATTTCAGGAATTTCATCTTTCTCAAACTTACCATGAAGGGCTTCTCAAGTTACAAACAAAAGAATACGAGAAGGCTCGCGAGCTCTTAGAATCTGTCCTTAAAGACCCTCTTATTGCTAATGCTCAGGTTTTGGTTTTTGCATAACGTATATTTTGTTCAATCTTAAATTCCATTTTAGATTGGTGGTATGATGTGTTTTCTGCTATCAGGTGGATAGCAGTGCCAGTGATGGTCATCTATTGCAACTCAGGTTTGATCTGTACTATACTACATATTCTATATCAAGATATCCACAGTTCTGTCACCGTTGTTTACTCATATAGTCTCCTATTTCAATTGAGCAATTCTTGCATGAGTGTAGTACCTGTAGGCACGGCCAATTAAAAGCTGAGAATGCATTAAAATAACATTTAAGTATGTGTTAAATTTTGTGCTAGAGTTAAGGTACTGTGCTCATGAAAGAATTACTCGTTTCAATTTGTAGTCTATTGAAGTAACACTTGACATGAATATATTGCAATAAATTCCTTTCACTTTAAGTTCTGGGACACTTGATTCTCATATCCTGATAATTCTGTCACTATTTTGAATTTTCACAAAGCACATAACTGGTGAGCTTAGTTTTAAAAACTACCCTTCTGTGGGTGGGATCATAGCTTATTTGGTATCATGTAGGTAAAACCTATTTACACTTGTTGAACTTTTCCATTTTTCTAGACTGGCTCAGTTCAATATCATCTCAGCATTGTTGAAAGCTTTATGGTTAGGACTTAGGATAAATTAGGATTTTGTAACTAGTGTCTTATTACTTGACCAATGGATACAAAAGTCCCTCTAATGTATTGTGAATTTGATATATGCTTGAATATATATATAAATATTATTTATGAGTTTTACTTGGTACTTACAAATGTTTCTACAGATTTTTGGCATTGAAAAACCTTGCTGCTGTTTTTCTTCAGCAAGGCTCTACATATTATGAGAATGCTCTACGATGTTATCTTCAAGCTGTGGAAATCGATTCTAAAGACTCTGTTGTCTGGAACCGGCTGGGAACTTTGTCGTGCTCAATGGGCTCGTTGAGTATTTCACGTTGGGCATTTGAGCAAGGCCTCTTGTGTAGCCCTAATAATTGTAAGCACCGAATACTCTTTTATCAAGTCATATTTTTTCTCCTAATGGCTACTTAATAGAGTGCTCATTACTATTTCTTTTATGTGAAATTCAGTTTTTTTGTTGGGGTTATCTTTACCCTTCATGTAATACAGTTGGGTGTCTTTTGAACCGTGACAGCCATCCATCAATCTCTTTATGTTTGTATTTATGAACATTTGTCAGACACACCTTGGATATGTGTTTGACACCCCTCCACCGTGTCACAATTATTTATTTATTTATTTTGTGGCTCTAACACCTTTCCTACATGACTTGGACACAGCCAAGAAAGTGAGCCTATACTTCCCGAAACTCCTATTATTTTTTTTAAAAAGTCAACTTATTTTATAAATAGGCTTAAATATGTTTAGTCCCTCAAATTTAAAATTGTTCTTTTTAGTCTTTGTAATTTCTAAAAATCTTATTTTAGTCTTTATACTCAAATTTTGTTAGAAAATCTGTCAAATATTGTTGCATAAAATCTACCTATTAGTGTTTCTATTAATGAAAACATCACATTAAATTTAGCTGATACCGCATAACTGTCTCAATTTTTTCGTTTTAGATATGTTATTGGTGACCTAAGAGATTAAAATAAGATTTTTGAAAATTATAGAAACGAAAAAAGACAATTTTAAATTTAAGGGACTAAAACATATTTAAACCTTATAAATATTACAATGCTAATAGCATATTTTTTTGTGAGATCATTTTCATAGGATGTATAGTTGTTTTAACTTTTAAGAGATATGATTCATCTTCTTATCTTGTTTTATTCATTTATTTATTTATAAAGGCTGCATTATGAAATAATCCATCTAATTATTCTATCTATAAGGGTCATTATATTGTGAAAATTGTAAAACTTAACAAGTTTGTTTCTACAAGGTGAATACATAAATCTTAATTTCAATTTCAATTTCAATTTCAATATCCCAGTGTTCATGCTGGAGTTGGTGCTTCATAGAAAGTGAGGAATGACAGTTGCACTGTACCAATTCACTTTGGATTGTAGATTACTTTGCATTTTTTTTAAATTTCATTTAGCTTCAAAAGTAAATTTTTCATCTTGAGAAGAGTGAACTGCCATTCTGCCAGATGTAATATTTTGTTGATTCTGGCTGAATGTGGGCAGTGGGCTGAATGGACATTCAGCAAGAACTAATTCTGGTTCTGGTATATTTGGCTCATAGTTTTACAAATATGTCCTCATTCATTGCATTTAAATGTCAATTTAAATTTGTTGTCAATTTTTTTTAATGTAATTTTCATCCAACACCATCCACGCACAACTAAAAAAAAGCCATCCCAATGTATGAGGCTCCCACAATTATGAGGTATGGGGAAGTTCAGACACGTGTAGCTGTAAACCCATGTGAGCATTGGGTCTCAAGGTTGAGATCTTATCGTTGTGATGCAACTGTGACAAAACTCACCCATATCCACACAAAATTAGTCTTTCAAAATCACTTCAAACAATCATTTTCAACAATAAATTCCATCCTTTGAATGTTATTTTCAAGACATATTCTTCTCACTATTAGTTCTATGTCAATTATGCAAACATGCTCAGTGTATACAGGCATGCCTATTTATGTATATTTGATCCCTGTGGTGTCCACAGGGAATTGCATGGAGAAGCTTTTGGAAGTTCTTATTGCAATTGGTGATGAGGTTGCTTGCCTTTCTGTCGCTGAGTTGATTTTGAGGCACTGGCCATCACATTCTCGTGCTTTGCATGTTAGAAATACCATCGAAGATTCAGAGCCTTTGCCATTTGCTCCAAGAGGCATAGACAAATTGGAACCTAAACATGTGCGGCTCAAATTTCCTGACAAGAGAAAAGCTACAAATGAGAATGTAGGTGAGGATGTTGCATTCAAAAAGCTGAACCGGAATAAAGAACTGCATCTGACAGAAGTTTCCTGGGTGGCTTTTGCTGATGCACTTATAAAAATCTTATCACCAGAAAGTTCTGAGATGGATCCTGAAAAAACATGTAGTTCTCCTGATATTAGGCTAAGCATAATTTTACCTTGTAGCTCAGAAGCTGTTATGAACACCGTGGAAATGAAAGGGTCCAATGTTGAAAATAGTGTTTTTGGTGATGGTAACATAGATCGATCAAGTGCTTTTAAAGAGAAAGAAGCAATTATACAAGAAGAACAACCACATGAAAGGCGAAGTTCTCGACTTGAAAGGCTACGGAGTCGCAAACCAGGAAAAGAAGAATCTGATTCTTCTTATGGCAAGGACCCTGCCAAGGTTGTCATTCAGTATCTAGAGCCATTTATTGCTGGTGAATTGGGGGGTCAAGATACAATTGATAGAGATACCTCGGCACTATCCAGTTTAGGAAATTCTGAATATCATAATGTTTCTGCATTTTTAAGAGAAACTTCAAGCAATTATGGTGCTTATCATATGGGGCACTTGCTTTTAGAAGAGGTTGCAAGACAAGGTCTCAAATATCAGGATGCTTTTGTCAAATTTCTGGAGTTGGAAAAGTTGACAAGGCATTGGGGGAAGGAGAGAACTGCTGAATGCAATATTTTTCTTGCTGAGCTGCATTATGACTTTGGATCATGCTCCTCCTCCAGTTCTAAACAGTTAGAATTTATTTCTGAGACATCTTATCATCTTTGTAAGATCATTGAATCAGTAGCTTTAGATTATCCTTTGCACTTGACTCATGCCTTGAATGAAGGTTGTTCTTTGATAGATAGTGTCCAAGAGACCAGTGGAAAAACAATAAATACCTCCACTGAGAGAAATTCAAATATAGACAACTCACTTCTGATGAAAAATAGTTCCCTCTGGGCTCGATTCTTCTGGCTAAGTGGGAGATTGTCTATTGTTGATGGCAACAGGGCAAAAGCTTGTGAAGAGTTTTGTATTGCTTTGTCACTTTTGGGAAAGAGAGAAAATATGGAAGATTCTCTATGTTCGGTCCCCCGCCCACATTGCAAGGCTGTAAAAGAGCTAAATTTTGATAGAGTTCTTGATGAAATTAATATATTAAAGGTCAATTTCTTGATGGAAAAATCTGTCATTAAGATGATGGAACAAGAGAAGTTTTTGGAGTGTGTATCCCTCCTTTCTCCACTTCTGTTATCCACACATGATGTCTACCCTGATTCATTCTCTTTGTCCATGACAGATAAAAAAGATGAAAAGACAACTTCCACTGAACTCATGGCTGTAGATGTTCTAATAGAAGCATGTCAAAAGACAAGACCAATGAATGTAGAGATGTATTTCAATTGTCATTACAGAAAGCTGAAAATACTTATGGGAATGATGGGTTTGAGTACATGTATTACATCATTTAAATCTTCTGATCATGCACCTGGTTTAAGTGCATCTCCTAATTTTGATATTGATTCAAAGGAAAGTTCTAGCAAGCACTGTAGTCACTTGGTTGTGGAGGAAGTGAAGGCACTCTCTGACTGCATCTCACAAGTCAAAAAGGTTATTGACCATCATGGAGATTCTGTAAGCAATGCCATTCTGGTAGTCTTGGAGTCTAAGGTGTTATAGCCATGAGTCATATATCTTAAAAATTACTTTCCTGTTCATCCATGAAGTTCATGAACTATATATGTCCTTCTCCTTCCTGAATGCAACAATTGAACCGGTTAATTAAAATATACCTACTAGTTATCTGTTATTAGTAAATAATTTACCTTAGTAATGAACATTGAGATATAGTTATTACTCCTTTTGAATATTTTAAACTTGATGTGTCATTGCATGATAAGATAAAAAAAAATTCCATTACAATTAAAATTGAAAAGGCTCATCCTCCTATCATTACTTGTGCATGCTTATGGATAGTGTAGGCTCTCAGATTTCTCATATAAATCAAGGAAATCGGTGGGTTCTATGTTTTTGATGAGTTGTTTTGGGCTTTTCTTTCACATGTTTTAGACATGGTGTTTTCCCTCTGAAGTTCTTTTTCTGCCAAACCAGAAAAAGGAAAAGAACCAAATTTATTGTATTTGGAACTTTGTTCTCATAACTTTTTTTCCCTCCTTACTGTTTTTCATTGATTATATTAAAAATAATTGTTTGATATCTTTGATCTGGAGAGATTTACTGGAATCTTTTACCATAAATAATTGGGAAGGCCTGTTAAACTTAAATTAGCCTGCATGATTATCAATTATCCAAACTGTAAACTTATTTTCATTCAATGTATATGGAATTGGTAGGAAATTTATACTAAGGTGATATTTTCAAACTGGTTTTCTTTTAATGATAATAAGCTTTACAGTTAACTTAATTTTTATTTTGGACCTGGTATAGTTAAGATGGAAACCCACTTGTTGCACTCTGTTCTTTAAAGTGAAGCTTATATATATGCATGTGATGTGTAATTTGAGTTTGGAGACAATTGCCCAATTGTTTGATACACTGGGTCAATCTTGAGTGTGCATTTTCACTTCGAAACAACTTTATGTGATTCATTTTAAAGCTTTTGAAAGAATAAGGACTTAGGAGTGATGACAGTAAGCAATTTTTGCTGTCCAACTATGTATTTGGGAGGGGTGGAATGCACAATTTTTGAAGGACCTTTGGTTGCTGCTTGATATGCTTTGAATTGGGTTGCAGTTGTGGCTTCTCTCTAGTGTGCTCATGGTTGTTTTAAGGGAATTTTCATTCTGATATATAAGAGAGGTTGGGTTGCTCTGCTTCATTCTTGATTTTCTCTTGTTCTATGATATATATATATATATATATATATATAGTCTTCCTTGGTGTACTTTTCTCTCTAATAAATTTTTTTTTCAATATAAATGGACATAATCTGTTTGATTGCTAACATGGGACCATGTAACTTGTTTTACTTACAGCACCTTTTGCTTCCTCAATATTTTATTATTGAATGTTATTTTTGGTGAAAGCACATGTTCTTATACTTGCAGGATAGCCTTAACGTTCCAACAAGCAGCATTTGTCAAATGCAGTCTCTGCTATTGTTAATCATGAGTTATGTTGCGAACATACTTGTCTGCAACAATGCCTCAGCACAATTAATTTCTGATCAAGTTGAAAGCAGCTGTTTTATTGATGCAGCCATTGTTTTCTGCAAACTCCAGCATCTTATCCCGACTACACCTATCAAAACCCAAGTTAGCTATCTCCTTCTTGGAAGAATTTTACTTTTAAGTGATTTGGTTTTTTAGTTATTCCTGTTTTTAATTCAAAACCTCTACTATTTCTTTCATTTTTAACTCAGGTTGATTTAATTGTTGCAACACATGACTTGCTTGCTGAATATGGGCTTTGCTGTGTGGGGGGAGGTGGCAAAGGTGAAGAAGGAACATTTCTTAGATTTGCGATAAAGCATCTCTTGGCCTTGGATATGAAGCTTAAATCCAGCTCTAACCATAAAGAGTCAATGCGATCTGAAGAAGTGTCCAAAAACAGTATTGTCAATGTGTCTGTTGAAGAATCAAAATCAGATACATTAGACATCCAGATGGATTGGACCAAAATTGATGAAATTAATTCACTTAAAAAGGATGTTTCTGAAGGAATAATATCCAAAGGCATTTCATCTTATAGAGTTCATGATAAAGACAGTAAGGAAGTAGAGTGTGAAACTCATGGAGGTGCTGTCACTGATAGTAAGTTCATTGAAGGTGGAAATGAACTATCTGAAGATGAATGGGAGGAACTTGAGTCTAAAATTGATTGTGCCTTAGATCAGTGCTTTTTCTGCTTATATGGATTACATCTAAGATCTGATTCATCTTATGAGGATGATCTAGTGATGCACAAAAACACAAGCCGAGGAGATTATCAAACTAAGGAACAATGTGCTGATGTTTTCAAGTATGTTCTTCCCTATGCAAAGTCATCTTCTGTGAGTTCTCTCTATCCCTAATTTATATAGTTCAGCTTGTCTATGGAATATTGTACAGAAATTTCATTAGTGATTTTATTTTGCTTAAAAAAAATTGTATGTATCAGAGAACTGGACTGGTCAAACTTCGTAGAGTTTTAAGGGCTATTAGGAAGCACTTTCTGCAACCACCAGAGGATCTCTTGCCAGGAAACCCTATAGATAAGTTCCTAGATGATCCTAATCTATGTGAAGATAAACTCTCAGAGGAGGCTGGGTCTGATGAATTTTTCAAATCTATTACTAAGATCATGTTTCCTGATGTGGGTGGCCTTGCTCAGTTTAATGCAACATTATTGAGGAGGTATACATTGCCAGTACTATAGGTGCTTCTTTTTAATTTATTTTAATTTATTCTTAGCTGTTTCTTCTGATTTAAATTTAATGGCTACAATGTATCCATAATATTCCTTGTTTTTAGTTTCTTAAGGTTATCTCAAAGTGTATTTGACTTTCAGGTCTGAGCCATATTTGGAGGTCTACTGTAACTTGTATTATTTCTCGGCTCTGTCTGAAGAGATGAGTGCAACAGATAAGTGGCCTGGATTTGTGCTAACCAAGGAAGGGGAAGAATTTGTTGAACAAAATGCGAAGCTCTTCAAATATGATCTCATGTACAATCCTCTGCGCTTTGAAAGCTGGCAGAGACTTGGAAATATTTATGATGAGGTAAGTTCAAAATGTTATTTGGCTTTTTAATCCATGAATGCCATGAAATTTACTAATAAACAATGATGTCTTAATTTCTGAAAATATATTGCCTTATACAATTTTATAAATGATTCTTTGTTGCACTGAGCAGGAAGTAGATTTGTTGCTAAATGATGGCAGCAAGCACGTTAATGTAGTAGGGTGGAGGAAGAATGCTACTTTATCTGAGAGAGTGGAAACAAGCCGAAGGAGGAGTAGACGGTGCCTACTAATGAGTTTAGCGCTGGCAAAGACATCTGCTCAGCAGGTTTTGACCTCTATTTATATATTTACTCCTCCTTTTAAAGTTTCCCTTTCTTTAGTCACTAATCACTACCATCTGGTTGTGGTGGTTAACTTCAGTTGGGTTCAACCAAAATGAGAATTTAACTAGATAAACAGTGCTTATACCCCCAAAAGTCCCCTACAATGTTATCTGCAATGTAAATTATTAAGACAGTGCCATTCATTGATTATGCTAGCTACTTGGTCACATTAAATATGTGATAATTTATTTTAAGGCTAATAAAGTGTGCAGTAAAAATGTATATACTGTAACGTTCAAGATTTATGTTGTTATGGATTTGCAACTTTATATTCTTACAACATTTAGTTGAATACATACACTTTAAGACACTTGATGCATGCCATCATTGCCTTGGTAAAAGTATCAGTTATTTATGTATTTAATACTTAATTTATTTCTTGCATCTGTTGTATTTCCAGTGTGAGATACATGAGTTATTGGCATTGGTGTACTACGACAGTCTTCAAAATGTAGTCCCATTTTATGATCAGAGATCTGTTTTGCCCTTAAAGGATGCGGCGTGGATGATGTTTTGTGAGAACTCAATGAAACATTTTAAGAAAGCCTTCACACTTAAGTATATCCTTTCTTTTTGTGTATTCTTATTTTATGCACTTAATATGATGTTTATGAACTACTTTGATTCTTTGTACAGGCAAGATTGGTTGCATGCCTTTTACTTGGGTAAACTCAGTGAAAAACTTGGATATTCACTTGAAATTGCATTATCATATTACAATAAAGCTATTGCTTTGAACACATGTGCTGTTGATCCAGTCTATAGGATGCATGCCTCACGCTTGAAATTATTATTTAAGTGTGGAAAGCAGAATTTGGAGATTTTGAAGGTTTTGCCCTCCTTTTCTGATCACTAAACTCTATTTTGGTATTATTTTATTTACTTGTCTTCGACATTGTCAGTTTATTCTGATTGCATTAACTGTCATATGTCTTGTTTTTCTGACCTTTACTGTTGTACTTAATTCAAACGTTAACCTCCAATTTTTAATTGACTAGATAATTTGGGCACTTGATCTATATTTTTGACTATTGTTTCGTCTTTAACAGGTTCTCTCAGCAAACTCCTTTAATCAATCTGTAAATGAAGCTGTCACAAGTATCCTTGGTGGTATAGATAGTTCATATTTAGATATAAAGGAGAGAGGTATTCATGCCAATTTTGTTGAAACAAAGCATGAAGAGTTGCTCAAATTGGATACAGTATGGTCTATGCTTTACAATGATTGCCTTTCTGCTCTTGAAACTTGTGTTGAGGGTGATCTCAAACATTTTCATAAGGCCAGATACATGCTGGCTCAAGGGCTGTACAAAAGAGGTGAGAGTGGTGATATAGAGAGGGCAAAAGATCATCTATCTTTCTGCTTCAAATCTTCACGCTCATCATTTACAATAAATATGTGGGAAATTGATAGCATGGTAAAAAAAGGAAGGTACAATTTTGTTCTTATCTTTTCATTTTTTACTGTGTTACTTTGATTGAACTCGATTATTTTGTCACTTACAATTGATGGCTCATACCATGGCAATTTCCAAGAATGCATGGCTAATACTTTGGTAATATTAATTATTGTCCTAACAAAAACTTTGAAGATTTGAAAGATATATTCTCTTGGAGTTGGAACCTTTTCTTTTCTCCAAATGAATTTTTTTTTTTGCTCAAATTGCCTTGTGTAACTTGAGGAAGTAATATTTCATGGATTTGTTATCCATACTATATAGTATAGGAGGAAGAAAACAAAAATGTCACCCAACTTAGAACTCACCTATTTTGCATTTACTATCAGGCGCAAGACACCAGGTTCTGCTGGGATCAAAAAAGCCCTTGAGGTTAACTTGCCAGAAAGTTCTCGAAAATTTATTACATGCATACGAAAGTATTTGCTGTTTTATCTCAAACTATTGGAGGAGACTGGAGATAGATGTATTCTTGAACGTTCGTATGTTTCTCTTCGGGCAGATAAACGGGTAAATCCTAGAGTCTGATTTAGTGCTTATGTTACACATCAGTAAATTATAATTGCTAGAGTTATGTTTAATTTGTTTTAATGGAAGCATTTTTTGTAACTGTTTTCTGCACTTGATTAATGTGGATCATTTGATGATTGACTTGTTGCCTTTTTACATAGCAAGACTAAGATAACTTTAGAGATATGGATTTTTAGTTTATGTAGGAAAAAAGGGATTGAGGCCTCTTTACCAGAACAAAATCTGCTATTGAATTGAAGGATTTACCATCAGATTTATCCAAGAAAAGAAAAATACTAATCCAAGACTAATCTAATCCTTTGATTTTTTTTCTTCTTTGTTTTGTTTTTTTGTACTTTTACTTGGGTGGACAATTTTTTTATTCCTTTTATATTAAAATAACTATGTACTCGTCATTGTTGAGAACAATAATAGAATGAATTGCATTAATTATTTTCTCCTTCCTCTCCTAGACACTTCAAATGGGTTTCTTAAGCAGCCCTTGAGGCTTTATTATTTCTCTCTCTCTCTCTCTCTCTGTCTCTCTCTCTCTCTCTTATTTTAAATTTCCTCAGTAATTTGGTAAAGCATTGCTCTTTTGTCTAGAATCCAGTAATGTTATATGCTATCAATCACACCTGTCAACTATGACCTGCATTTCTCTTTTGTAAACTTAATTTGTTTTGTCTTTCACTTCCACCACAAATGCAGTTTTCATTATGCATTGAAGATCTTATACCGGTGGCTATCGGAAGGTATCTAAAGGTCCTGATATCAACTATGTGCCATTCTCAGACTGCTGCCTCTAATTCAATGAGCAGTTCTGACAATGTGCTGGAGAGAATGTTTACATTGTTCATGGAGCAAGGGAGCTTATGGCCAGAAATATGCAGCTTGCCTGAAATTGAAAGCCCAGACATGTCAGAGAATATGATATATGGGTAATACGATTGAGATTTAAACAAATGACATCTTTTACAAATTTGTACACTGAACTTCTTTAGATTGAAATGTAATTATATAATGTATGTCATCTGTTTTTCAATGGTAAAACCTAATTCAGATCCTCAAATCTTTGCAGTTATCTTCATGAATATATTGTATTATTGGAGAAAAATGGAAAACTGGAAACTCTTGAAGCAATAAATGAGAAGATACGGAAGCGTTCTAAGAATCCGAAGTTCTCAGATAGTAATTGTGCAAAAGTTGGCAGGCATGCTTCTGCTGCTTGGTGCCGATCTCTTGTATACAATTTGGCACAAATAACTCCGTTATCATGCGGATTCTCAAATGGGATTCAGCTCCTTAATTTGACTGATGGTGGGATAGATAATAGCCAGTTGCTCTGTATTGATTTGCAGCCAAATGAATTATGGAGTACAGCTTTTGAAGATCCAACTCATTTGGAAAAGATTGAAACAAAATGGAGCCCCGTGTTAGAAAAAATAAAAAATATAATAATCAAGAAAGCTTCTGATGAGAATTTGGAAACTGCAAACACTTTGCTCAGAGCTTGCTACAATTTTTACCGGGAGAGTTCTTCTGTTATGCTTACCTCTGGACTCAACTTTTATTTGATTCAATCTCAATTAGTAACACAGACACCATTCAACCCAAATACAGCTGGGACTGAAGCACTTGAGCTGAGCATACCAAGGAAGCTTCTCTTGTGGGCCTATGTACTATCGCATGGACGTTGTGCAAATATCTCAATTGTTGTAAAGCATTGTGAAGAAATTTCAAAGGTATGCTAAATGCTTACTGAAGTTCTTGGCTGTACCAGGACATCTTTTTGCAAAAAAAACCCTGATAGCATGTTTGGGAAATGTGCTTGATATTCAAATCTGTATTCATTTGACTTGAGCTTTTCAAATCATCACATGACAATTGAATTGCGAGCTATAAGTCAGGAGCACTTCTCCACAGGAAAAGTGAAGCATTAGGGACTAATTGACATTGCAACATTTATACAATTTTTGTTAACTAGTTAAATGAGGATGAATAATGTCTTCCTTTTATCAGCTATGAGGGACTAATCCTTACCTTTCTGCTATGCAGTCAAAGATGAAAAGAGGAAGTGGAGCATCACCTGGGTTATCAAACACGTCTCCTGCCCCTAGTCTTATAGGTTATTTGTCTTCCTAAATAATTACTATTTACTAGGTCTTATTTTGATAGGCGAAGTCTATACAAAAAGGAAAGGGCAATGTTTAACAATGTTTGCTGGTTGTAGGTAGCGGTAAAAACGGACCAAATTCTGCTGGAGGCATTGACGTTGATTCTACCCATGTCACAACAGTGGGGTGTGGTTCATTTTCTAGCAGCGGCAATACCTCTAATCTTGTGAATTCACTTCCCTCCGATGACATTCAAAAGAATCTCTTTGCTTCTCCCCAGTTGCATCAATGCACCACTAACGATGCAGAAAGAAGCAATTTGATGGCACATGAAAGAGATACTACAGAAGGAGATTGACTATTTGATTATTCAAGTGCCGCTTCACAGTATATCTTGAAGATGGAATATGATATACGTGCACTACTAGTAAATTCCATTTTAGTGATGAAAAATGTAAATAGTAGGGTTCTCTTTTAGACCAATAAGACATTTATTGGTTTCACCGCATGATGGCTACGCATAGTACCTTGAAATTGTAATCTCTTGTCCGTCTTTTCATTTCGAGAGGTGATCAATTTAAACACAATTTAACGCTGATATTTTTTTGAATTAGAACTATTCCAGATTGGTCGGATATGCTCTTAAAACTTTCAAAAATTATTTCACAATTGCAACATTTGAAGTTCATAGTAATATTATTAGTTTATGTATACTTCTATAACATTATTTCTAAATCACTTTATCTTTCATTATTTATTTATTTATTATCTATTTTTCTACTTTAATGATATTCAGTTTTTAATTTTTTTAAATAATTATCCTTTGATTTTTTAATTTTATTTTAAATAAAGGCATAAAGCGTCTCTCTCTTTTTTTTCCTAGTTATAATAAGAGAAATGATAGTTGGACAATTAAATAGTACAATGTATAATATCATTTTTTTGTGTCTATTTCTCCATCACTTCGTATCTGTTTTTTTTTTTTATCACTTTGTTCATTAATGAAATAAGGGAAGTGAAATGATACTTAAACAACAAATATGTACAAAATTATTGTGTCTCTCTTTTCCATTACTTCACTGATTACATTTATTTGTGGAAAGAAGAGATGGACACGATAATGTGAATTAATGTACGTGCATTATTCTAATTTAAAATAGTTCCAGAAAATGACACTGTGCACAACAATAAAATGAATTTCTGGATTAGTTTGATACCAAAATATATCCAAACCGTTGTTTCTATAGCAAGGTAAATTAATAATAGGGATAAAAAATTTAATAAACCATCATTTTAAAGATTAGATTTGATAATTCCTGAGAAGAGAATTCCAATATCAACTGGAAGCTTTAATTTTATGCTAAATTATTAAATTGTATGTCAAACCACGTTAAGATAATAGTTGTCGCTAAAAAAAAAATATTAAGTCTTAATAAAATGAACGCGTTTAATTTTAGTTCGTGTAAAAGAAATTAAATAAAAGCTGTTTTTTATTTTTTATTTTTTAAAATTATTGTTTAATTCCTTTAAAATAAGGGAATTTAGTGTCATCTCAAATTTTCTTATTCATTCTAAAAATTTAGTCCCAGACATTAGTTTCAAGCTAGATAAAAATAAACAAATCTCCTAAAGTACTTTTTATTAAAAAATAAAAATAATTAATTATTGAAAATACAATCCCAATTACATTCAATTAAGAATGATTTTAAAAATATTTTATTTAAATAGAATAAATTTAATTAAATTTACTAAATTTAAAAGACCAACAAATAATCTTTATTTTTCTTAGAAGCATAATTTAACCTAAACAGCAATTGAATCAAAATCTTATTTTAGTAATACGCAGCAACATTTAATGAAATCATTTATAAATTATCAAATCATCCACTTAATAAGTCAGTTATTATAATCTTAATGAAAACATTTGACTATTAAACTAAAATTACAAATTATAAATTTTATAAATTAACTAACAAACTACAAAATTCAAAATTCAAAATCTTGTATAAAAAATTAGCCGGCACAAATTCCCTAGCCTACCACCAACTACTATAATCGTTTAAATATTATTTCATCGAGGTGCGAAAACGTTAGGAAAAATTTAGAATGGAATTTTACGTAGTCTGATTGAAACAATATAAACCTATAACACGAACAAACCTACTAATTTGATACCAGAAAAAAAATATAAAAAAATACAACCGTTTTGGGGGGCGCGGGGGAAAAAACGCAACAAGCACAAGCCGATTGCCAATTGAACATAATAAAAAGGTAGGCATGAATTAAGATTTGTCAACAACTAGAACATATTTAAAATGTGCCTAGTTTACTTGATATATACAAAGTAGGGAAATTGAGGGTGAAAATGATTTTTTGATTTTTTTAAAAAGAACTATTGAACATTAGGTGTTACAGTAATGAATGACTCTACAACTTCTAGTTTGGATTTGTGTAGTTGTATTTCTCCCCACCTCGAGTTATCCTACCATCTCTATGTCAATGTTTGAGTTTGACCTATTCTAGATGACCGAACGAACATGTGATGGATCGAGAGAAGAGGAGGAAAAGGGCCAAAAAGTTAATGTTGAATATATGCTGTGAACATACCCATCATGACTGCCAGAACAGCTCAAAATCGTTACTATACAAGGAACGGTCTTGGATTTCCAGATTGGCAACATGCCAATTAATGAGTTGAGACTGGAATAATTTACACAAAACCAATCCGGCTGGGAAAATCCACCATTCACTTTCGTCCCTGCACATGCACACAGTTATAAATAGTCAGACTTTCCCATATAAGCCAAGCACCCTCTTAATGCAGCTAAGAATCCCCTTACATGATACTCCACGGCTGAAAGCTGGGGTGTTTTTTACTGGAAGACGATTGAGAGTTGTAATGTATATATCCACAAAGAAATGCAACAACCTAGTGAAAAATAACATAAGATCCCCAATTAAAACCAAAAAAATATAATCAATATGACTATATTCCACCCCAATAAATAAATAAAAGGATCAAATATCCCCAATCAACTGAAATTCGATAGATAACTCACAACATTTATGAAGGATGTAAGATTCCACAGAGCATAAAGACGTGCAAGGCCTGCAGAACGCCTTGGGCCATGACTAAAGAGAGCATTAATTCCGACAGGAAATGGGAGAATAATGCCGAAAGGTAATATAAACAACACGAGGAAGACGTCCATCAAAGAAATTGAATACAACTGAAGCAGGGTAAGTAATACTAAACTAAAATCTCCTAGAAGCAACATTGAGATTACTAATCCAACCAGATCCTGCAGTCAACACAAAGGAAAAGATAAAATTAAAAATCAGATATCAACTGATGCAAACACAAGAACTAGCAACTCTGTCCAGCAAATCAGTAAACTATCAATAGAAGAGAGATATACCTGATGCCCAACAGGTTTTGTATTCTGAAGTATAAAAGAGAGAAGATAAAAGATATCCCTCTTCTCGTCAAGCATATGCAAATTGTTTACATCTAAAGCAGCTCCATGCATTTGTCGCCTCATATAATTGTCCTCAATTCTTCCACTAGGGCTTGAATGAGTTCTGTTTCTTGGGAGCCCCAAAGGAAGTTCCTTTTTAACACTCTGGACCCTGGAAACCAAAAATTATATAAACAAACATAAAAGTATCAAGAATCATACATCAAAAAACATTCCACATTTCTCAAGAGCATAATCAGAACATCATTTTTTCAATTTTCTCATGGAGATGACATGACAATATTGTAGCATGCCATGAGTATAAACGATTACCGTGATCTGTCTTCAGTTCTTAAAGCTCCATCAGCACTTTCTCCAGTGCCTTGATAACCTTCCTCAACAGCATAAACCATAAGCCCATAGTGGCAGTAGCCACTACTTGTAGCCTGAAACCAGGCAAGATCGACGCGCACACCATGGACACTCAATGCAGGATTGGCATGAGTTTCAAGCCATCTGAGGACAGTTCGAAATGTTACTCTTAGTCGTCCACGGCGAACTAACCGCAATTGCGCATTCAACCCAGCAACCAATCTATACCAGGTTGTAGGTTGCACTGTCTGCAAATAACATTAAAAGTATGCATATGATTAAATTCCCCAAGAATAGAAAGAAAAAAAAAGGCATTTGTCTAAGTGCATGCATATAAAATTGAGTCCCCCAAAATCAAGAAACAAACCTGACTCATGAGGCTGGTAAGAATATTATCATTGTGAAGGGTGAATGGAGCCATATAACTTCCATCACCTCCAAAAGGCAATGACATTGGGAACCTTTCATGTAATCGAGGAGGAAGATCTATCCTCTTTTCATCCCCGCCAAGAAAGAAGTCCACATATGCCAGCATCAAGTCAGAAGTTGCATTTACCTACATTATTTTACAGGTCGATTAACATTATAACATATACTTACATCTGTTCTGATTTCAATTAATGAAAAGTTGAAAAGCTACCTTATAAATATTTGTTTTAATTACCATTTTAGTCCGTGTAGTTTCATCAACTTTACCTTTTAATCCTTATTAAAAATATTTCATTTTAGTTCATATACATACCATTTGTTTCCCATCAGTTCCTATAAAATGGTATGTATAGGAACTAAAATGAAATGCTTTTAGCTATAAGGACTAAAAAAGTAAAGATGAAACTATGGGAACAAAAAGGGTAACTAAACCTTTTATTCTTAAAGAACCAACTTTCATTCAAAATTACAATAAATATATGAAGCCTATACATGACCCTGACCATCAGGCAGGAAAGGGAAATATGAAGAAAATTTCATCTCCCACCAGCTATCAACATGCCTAATAGTTTTGAATTAATGATATCATCCTGTAACCAGTCTATTTATGAAAATGTAACCCGTCTATTTTATGAAACATAAGTGAATGATATAACCAGCAGTAATGAAATAAATTAACTGGCATCTGATGAAGATCACTGTTGGTTAACTAGAGAAATACAACAAACCAGGTCAGAAATTGAAATAAAAACATACCATTCAGTCATGTATCCAGTTATACATATTTAATGAACTCAACATTTACATTGGACCATATGAATGCAAATTAGAACAAGATCAAGATATGCACCTAAGCCAACACAATTCAGTAGCAAATCAATCCTACATCAAATATTTCATTGTTCACGGGTTTGACAAGTATATGAACAAGACAAACCTTGATCCCTTCATAGAGAGCTCGTGATCGGCAAGAACGAAGGCAAGCATGATCATATTCTGATCGAACAAACTCGCGTAAGCGTTGCAACTTCAATCTCCTGCGCCATTGTTGCCAGGACCATGCAAGCGGATAAGCAAGAACAGAAAGAATGCTATATATTGCTCCCTCCCACCATTGATAAGCAGCTATAGCATTAATCTCATCCACAAATGTATTGAACTCAGTCTCATAACTGCCATGTCAAATGTTGGAAGATCTCCATCTCAATATCATAACCAATTAAGTAATAACATAATTAACAAAATTAAAGACCTGACAACCTCAAATTTCAACCATGGGAACTATAATGATCAAACAGAAAATGTTTTGCTTACACAACATCCTGTATTTGCTCTGAAGGTGTATGTGGCAGATGCCAGGGCTCACTGAAAGTATTAGGTCCCATAAAATACATTCTGTGAACATGACTCTGGGAC